CACAGACACACAGACAACCTCTCGTCAATATGCGTTTTTCGCATTGCATTGCTGCAAAAAACGCAAGAATGACAATTTGTCATTCTTGCGTCTCGCGCGCAGAAAAAATTCTCAAGTAATTTCTCTTTCCTTTTTGGACAAAACATTGGACGTTCGGGCGGAATTTCCATTTAGATGCCTGCTTTTCTTCGCGCACTTGGATATCCAGCTCCACTGAAACCATCAACAATGCAAACAATCGGAGCACCTCATACGATGCCACAACTCCTTGGAGCGCTTGTCTGGCTGATCGATTTAATCTCCGTACGTTTCCTTTTCTTATTTTTGGTAGATAAATATAGAATTCTTTGATACTTGCAGGAATTGCAGTTTATCAAAATTTTAGATTATATATTGCTCGGCAAGGCGCCGATTAGAATTGCTTGCCCCTTGCCTCTTTCATCCATTCCCTCTGGCCCAATCTCTCGACTTCCTCTTTCGTCTCCTTTTTCGACTCAGTACTCGTAACAGTTCTTATATAAATGCGCTAAATTCCAGATGTCTGGCGAACTGTCGCCACAAGAATTACTTCTGGCAAATGAAGAAGGAGATGGCCAGCGAAGATCAGTGAGTGAAATTAAAAGTTTTATGAATCAAGTTAGAGTTTGGCTTACAGGGCTGAAGGCCTTACAAGCTAGTTGACAGTTGGTTTGACTCTCTAGCATGTACCAAAGAATCAAAGCGTGCTTGTGCCAGTTTACCATCGGAGCGAGTCATCGATCTATAGAAGTGTTTGTTCCATTTGCTGAGCCAATACCTCGGCATATGAAAGTAACGCTATGCCACCACTGATTTCGTAGGTTTCAGTCTCAGTTTCAGTAGAGTTTCAGTAGTTTCAGTGATTTCGTAGGTTTCAGTTCACTAAATTGGATTGTAGCATTCCTTGTTTCCCAGCAGCTGCTACTGTTTTCATTATTTAACTACCTATCCTGCTCCTGAACAAGTGAATTCAGAAAGGTTTAATTTTAGTTGACTTATGGCTACTTGATCAAATGCTACAAGAAGTATTTGAGCAGACCAAGTTTGGGCTTCGAGAAGTCAAATTACTCTGAAGAGAATGATACTCTTCTGCAACTCATTAGTAAGTATTATTGTTTGAGCACTAATACAGTTTGATGTTTATGTGGATAACTTGCGAATTATCGCTGCGTCTGTGCGAGAGAGCGAAATCTAGCCGGCAGGAAAAGCGAAATCCGCAAGCAAGTACCACACAAGTAGTTTCCGAGGGGGATGAGCGATAGGTACCTATTCAACTCAGGATCGAGGGCCCAACTGAGCCTCGTCCAGCATTTGAGGAGCATCCCAGTAATATTACAAACGCCTAGTATCCATACCTTTTCTTCAGGCGATTTTACTGTTGATAATTATTACGTTCTTGTGTAGTGTACTGATAGTTTGATATCTTTGGGTTGATATTTGCTCATAAAGACAGAATGTAGCCACGTCCTTTTCTGGTCTTGATAATTTTCTCGGTTAAAATGGGGCGCAGCAGTATTATTGCAGAAGAGAGGGAAGATATTTCACAACAGGAGGCTGAATTGGATGCACAGACGGCAGCTCGAAGTGAAGAAATTGCCATGCTCGAAGAGAAAAAAAGCAAGGTTTGTTCATTTTTTTCAATTTTAAATGCTATTTTCTAAGAAAACTAGAGATGTTCGAACTCTTTGTGCGTATCGCAAACAAGTCTGTAAAACTGAAAAATAATGATAAATCTTTGCCACAACTATTGCTATTTCGTTGAACGTGCACATGTGTTATGCTTGAAAAAGTGCAAATGATACAAGAATGATACAATTCATATTATTCGACGCATTTGTTTAACATTCTAGCGCACACATAAGAACAACCCTAGGCCAGAACTGCCGATCCGATCATGCGTTTTTGCACTAAACTTGAAGCAATCAGGCCAGTAACTGTATGAATGGTTGCCAGTTTCCATTTACCTTGCGTACTCACAAGCGTAAATCGTCGTAAATTTTTGTCTAGCGGTCGTTCTTTGAAAATAACCTAGCTCTTCAGGGAGCATTGTTCTCAGCAAAACTTTTGAGTGCCCGTACGCATGCATGCATGGGAACCAAATTTGAAATCTTTAAGCTGTACTTGGACTTAAAACTCCAGCTTTCCAGTCTCTAAAGTTGGCAATTTTCCCGCCGAAAGTTTACACGCTCGTATGTGAGTATCACGCGTACCTTGGGGCTGAATTTGAAATCCTTATGAGGTACTTAGACAAGGAATGTCCTCTTAAAATTTCAGCCTCCCAGGCCTTCTGGTTCCCGAGTTAACAGGTTTCTCGCCAAAACTTTCATGTGCTAATACGTGGGGCTTAGACGTTTGTAAAGTTTGGTGCCGTGACCTTGGGGTAGGACTTGGCTGGGAAAGCCATTAACAATATTTCAGCACAGAAGTTTGCTTGATTATCGGCTTGAACAAATGCGCGCACGCGCACAACACAAACATGTATGTATGTATGTATGTATGTATGTATGTATGTATGTATGTATGTGTGTATGTATGTATGTAT